ATGTCCAATGCACAGCCCGTGAGTCTGAGTATAGAGTTTGATATCTCTTTAGTCCAGGAGCACTTGATAGGGGAATAAGATATTTGAAGCAGGAAAGGATATGTTTGTCTGTGTGTGGCCTTTCAGGTAGTTTTTTGTGTCCAATATAGAGCCATTACTACATATGTCATTACTACATAACCCGTATCCAATCATACATAGAGCTGTTATATACTTGGGGGACAGCAACAATTGTCTTCCTGATGGACTTTGGATTAGGACTTTGGTTCTAGGACTTTGGGCCTTGTGATCAAAGTAATAGCTTGTTATTGGCCAGCTTGCCCAGTACCCCCCTTGTTTTGGTCACTACAGGTTTTCAACAAATCAAGGGCAAATAAACCTTGCTGTTGTAGGGTTTCCTATAAGCCACACTTGAACTTTGGATTATGATAGTGAGTATGTATGCCACACCCTAACCTTGTCTGCCAATAGGTTTGCCTTTGTCCCCTCTGTCTCCTGGGAATTTCCAGAGTCTGTCTTCAGGAGACCACTGGCCCCTTCTGTTGCTTAGGAATGCAGAATAAAAAAGACCAGGCCAAAAGCAAGGCGTTAGGATATGGAGGGATGGGAGTTACCCAGAATTTCTGTTAGTCCTCCAGTAAAGATTAAAGACACAGGAGGAAACAGTAGTTGGGGATTCTGAGGCTGACTTTAGGGGACTGATTACAGGGAATGAAGGAGCTGGAGAGGAAAGGAGGCTCGAGACAACATGGTGATTAAGAGAGATTTACTAAGGACTACCCTCTGATAGTACACTTTTAGGGACACTGCAGAAACAAAATGACAATTCCTATCCTTAGCAACCTCCATTCTCCTGAGAGAAGAAACAAAAATAAGCTGAGTAGGTAAAGCTTAGCTACTTGTAAAATGGCAAAGGACTACAAAGATGAAGGCCAAGATCTGGGTGTCAGAAAAGATTTCAGAAAGAAGGAAAATTTTTAAAATGTGTGGGCAGGCAGAAGATTTAGCTCAGCCTATAGAGTGCTTGCTTAATATGCATAAGACCCTGGCTCAGTCTTTAGCATTTCATATCATTGGTAGTGGTGGCCCACACATATGATCCCAATACTGAGGAGCTGAAGGCAGCTGGGTCAGAAGTTCAAGGTCATCCACTACATAGGCCAGCAAGGGATACAAGTGAGGCCAGCAAAATTCAATGGCTCAGTGTGTAAATAACTTGCTGCTAAGCCTGAGTTTGATCCCTGGGATTCATATGGTGGAAAGAGAGAACCAACTTCTGAAAGCTGTCAGCTGATCTCCACTAGGGTACTTGGTATTCATATATATGCATACATAATTTTAAAATGTGTACGTGGGGGTGTGGTAGACCTTAGTTGTACAGCAAGTATTTAGTGTTCATGAACTCCTGGGTGCTGTCTGAAGTGCAGGCATACACACACACACACACACACACACACACACACACACACACACACACACACACACCGGGTTGTTAATATGCTGTAAACTATATGCAAACTATATAATGTAAGCTTACTTTTATTTTTTTTGAGATGGTATCCTGTATCCTAGGTTTCTTTTGAACTGGCTGTATAGCCAAGAATGACCTTGAATTGTGATCCTGATGCCTCTACCTCCCAAGTACTGTGATTACAGGAGTGCTCGGCCATGCCCAGTTTATGCAGTGCTGGGGATTGAGTCCAGAGCTTTGTGTATGCTAGGCAACCTACATTGTCAGCCACAAACTTACTATTATTTTTTATTTATTTAATTTTAGGTTTACTTTTTTTTAAAAAAGATCTTATTTATTAAGCCAGGCGTTGGTGGCGCATGCCTTTAATCCCAGCACTCGGGAGGCAGAGACAGGCAGATCTCTGTGAGTTCGAGACCAACCTGGTCTACAAGAGCTAGTTCCAGGACAGCCTCCAAAGCCACAGAGAAACCCTGTCTCCAAAAACCAAAAAAAAGGTTTTATTTATTTATTATGTATACAACATTCTGCTTCCATGTATATCTGCACACCAGAAGAGGGCACCAGATCTCATTACAGATGGTTGTGAGCTACCATGTGTTTGCTGGGAATTGAACTCAGGACCTCTGGAAGAGCAGTCAGTGCTCTTAATCTCTGAGCCATCTTGCCAGCCCTAGGTTTACTTTTATTATTTTAAATTATTTAGATGTTTGTGTCTCTGTATGTACCTGTGTACAGGAGAATGCAGTTGTCTGTGGAGGCTACAGCTGTCAGAGCCCCTGGATGTGAGATGCCTGATGTGGGTCCTGGGAACTGATTTTAGGTCCTCAGCAAATAACATATCTCCAGGCCCTAATATTTTAGTTTTTTTCACTACATAGGGTCTCGGAACTTGCTATGGACTGGCCTGGAATTTGCTATGTAGCCCAAGCGGTCTTGGTAACTCAAGCAATCATCCTACTTCAGCTTCCCAAGTGCAGAAATTACAGGCAAGTCACTAAGCGGGCATCAAAGTCTGTTTAAAATGTGTTATTTTAGCTGCTTCGTGAATAGCCTGAAGTAAGGGCCAATGGTGGACCAGTAAACAAAAGGATGTTGTAACAGGGAGTGAGGGGAAGTTGCCACCTAGGCTAAGAAAAGTATACAGGGGGAAGAGCTGGCTTTCCACAGGCTCAGGGAGAGTGCTGTCTCTGTTTATTCTGTTCCTGGGCTGCTGCTTTTTTCCAGTATGCAACCTTAGGAAACAACAAGGCTAGTTGAGGTTTCCCTTGAACTAACTGCTGTCTGAGATGAGGGTAAGCACCAGGTTAGGCTTTGGGACAAGTATTCAATGGGGGCTGGTGTGGAAGAGCAACAAATTTGCAGTGGCTTCCAGTTCTTTGTGCTTTTAATTTTTGTTATTGTTTTTGTCTTTTGGAGACAAGGTTTCTCTGTGTAACTCCAACAGTCCTGGAGCTTTCTCTGTAGACCAGGCTGGCCTCTAACTCACAGAGATCCACCTGCCTCTGCCTCCAGAGAGCTGGGATTAAATTAGCGTGCACTACCACTGTCCAACTAATTCTAGCACTCAGGCAGAGGCAGAGGCAGAGGCAGAGGCAGTGGGCAGAAAATGGCACAGGGAGTCAGGATAACTGGGGCTTTCTGACTTGTAGGCTAGCTGAGAAAACACGAGCCCCAGGTTATCCCAGGACTAACTCTGTAGACCAGGTTGGACTTGAACTCACAGAAACACCTGACTTTGTTTCCTGAGTACTGGGATTAAAGTGTGCATTACCACCACCCAGACCTTTTCTGACCTTTTTTTTTTTTATATTCATGGAAGCAAGGACCAGCACAGATAACATATGTGTACATACATTCTCTCTCACACACATAAATAATTTATATTTATGTGTATGGGTGTTTTGCATGCATGTATGTCTGTGTACCACATTGCATACCTGATGCCCATAGAAGCTTGAAGAGGGCATCGGATTCCCTGGAACTGAAGTTAAAGATGGTTGTTGCCCAGTAAATCCATTGTTGTTGTTTTTTTTTTTTTTCCCCCGAGACAAGGTTTCTCTGTGGCTTTGGAGGCTGTCCTGGAACTAGCTCTTGTAAACCAGACTGGTCTCGAAATCACAGAGATCTGACTGCGTCTGCCTCCCAAGTGCTGGGACTAAAGGTGTGCACCACCAATGCCCTGCTTGTAAATCCATTATTTTAAAAAAGACTTGCAGCTGGGTGTTGGTGGCGCATGCCTTTAATTCCAGCACCCAGGAGGCAGAGGCAGGTGGATCTCTAAGTTCCAGGCCAGCCTGGTCTACAGAGAGAGTTCCAGGACAACCTCCAAAACTACAGAGAAACCCTGTCTCAAAATCCAAAACATAAAAATCCGGAAACAAAAACTATTATCAAAGTTGGGCACATTTGCTCATTCCTGTAGTTCCAGCTACTTGGTGGCTGAGGCAAGGATTGCTTGAGCCTAATAGTTCAAGTACACCCTGCACAACATGTGTATGGGGGTTTTGCCTGCATGTATGCCTATGCACCATGTGTGTACATAATGTCCTCAGAGGCCAGAGGAGGGCTTTAGATGCCCTGGGACTGGAGTTAACAGTTCTAAGCCACAGTGTAGATGCTGGAACCAAAACTGAGTCCTCTGGAAGAGCATTGAGCCATCTGTACAGTGTCTGTGTTGTCTCAGCTAACATGGAATTCACTATGTAGATCAGGCTGGGCTGGAACTCACAGAAATCTGCCTGCCTCTACCTACCTAGTGGGATTAAAGATGTACACTACAATACCCAGCCACCACAGTCTTGTTTGTTTTTTGAGAAGAAAGTTTCTCTATGTAAGCCAGGCTGTCCTCGAACTCAAAGAGATTTGCTTGCCTTTGCTTCTTGAGAGCTGGAATTAAAGATATGTGCCACCATGGAAAGCCTCAAATAGTTTTAAGACTAACACAAAGTATTGTTGGGGGTCTCCTTAAACTGATAGGGATATAGGAAAAACATGGGGTACAGTTTTAAGTGCTGGGGCATGATTTGGTACTAGTAGGCTTAGCCTAAGATGAGTCTTGCTTTTTATTCTGCAACTCTTCCTCTTGTGGTATGGGAAGGCGATGTGCCACAGTATTGTGGGAACTGGGGAGCAAAGCCTGTAATCATCTATTGTGTAATGAGCTTTAGTTCCTGACTCTAATGCTAAGAATGCTGGTGAGCTGGGGCTCTATAGGGCTGAGGCTGTCAGATTACCACATGGCCGTAGTGGAGGCAGCTGGGAGGGAAAGTACTAGAACATGGACTGCTCCTTGCATTTTGCCACCTGTGTGGAAGAGGAAGCACAGTGCCCAGAATTTCAAGATGGGCCAAAAGGGAATCTCTCCCAGTCTAAATGGTTGTGGATATGGGACTTGGGGAAGGTGGTCTCTGCCTAGGGATAGAACTAAACATACACATGCTTTTGGGGTGGTCTGTCATCTCCTGATACTGGGACCCCACACAGTTTTCACTCCTGCCTTTACAAAATCTGTTCTCTGCAGCCACAATTGACTTAGCTTAATGAACAATTATTGTTATTTATTTATTGGTTCCGGGGAACAGTTATGTTGGAGCTGTTTAACATGAACCTTCTCCAACTTCATTCTTCAGTTTATTCTCCTTGCCTTTTCTCACGGGGTAACAGCAGCAGTTTCCCACTTGGCCTCCTCCAAGCTTCTCACTTTCACTTCGTTTCAAAAGAATGCAGAACACCACAGGGGGAGCTACCAGGTGCCTGAGATTTCTTCATTGCTAGTTAAACAGGAAACGAACAATGAGAAATTAATTTCAACCTTATGTTTTACTTAAATACTATATATAATGTTATATATTGAATTTTTTTGTGAGATATTTTAGTCTTTTCTTAGTTCTAAGTTTTTGAAATCTCAGGCCTGTTTTTACCATTTTGGTACATGTCAATCTGGACTTTGTTCAGTACACAGGTGTGGCTATGAGCTATCTCAGTGGCAGCACAGATTCCAAACTTTTCTCCAATGAATTCTAATTTGTGGTCAGAAGCACAAATGTCAAATTATTAGTCCTTTAGAAAAAACTTATAAAAGCTGACCCTGGATTGTATTTTTTGTGTCTTTTCCCTTTTTTTTTTTTTTTTTAAATCCACAGGGTTTCACTATGTAACCATAGCTGTTGTGTAACTCCCTATGTAGACCAGGCTAGCCTTTGGACTTAAAGGTGTGCACCATCATGCCTGGCTCCTTTTGGTTTTTAAATAATTTTTTAATTACATTTATTCATTGTATGTATGCATGAGTGCCATGGCATGTGTGTGGAGGTTAGAAGACAACTTGCATGAGGTGATTCTTTTCTTTCACCTTGTGGGATGAAGGGATTAGTATCAAGTTGTCAGACTTGATAGCAAAAGTATCTTTCCTGCTGAGCCATCTTACAGATAGTCATCTTGCTTCTGAGTGTGATGATGGACTGTTGGTTCCTACATGGCACAGGTGGTGTGTCAGCCTCCACAGGCTTTTTCAATATGTTCTTTTTAGTAGGGTCTCCAATTCTAACGGTTTCTTCTTTTCTTCTTCTTCTTCCAGACAGGGTTTCTCTGTGTAGCCTGTCCTGGAACTTGCTCTGTAGACTGACCTTGAACTCACAGAGAACCTCCTGCTTCTGCCTCCTGAGTGCTGGAATTAATATACCGCCACCACTTCAGGCTTCCTTTTTTAAGGACACTAATTCCATTCAAAAGTGATTTGATCACAATTGGCCATAGTAGTGCACTCCTATAATCAAGGAGACTCACTATGACTTTGTACTATCTAGAGCAGTGTTTCTCAACCTGTGGATCATGACCCGGAGGTGTCCAATAACTCTTTCACAGGGGTTGCCTGTGAAAAACAGATTTCTTACATTACACGAACACATGGGTTTTGTGCACCTAAGGCAAGCATATTATCAAATGAGCTCTATCTCCCCTCATTTTTTTTTTTTTTTCCTTTTGAGACAATGTTTCAAGTAGCTAAGGCTGGTCTTGAGCTCCTGATTCTTCTGTCTCCAAGTGCTAGGATCACAGGTATTCAACACAAAGCCTGACTCCAGAGCTTTCTTAAAATTTTAAAAAAGTTTTATGTGTATGTTTTTTTTTGTCTGTATGCATGTCTGTGCACCATGTGCATACCTGGTGCCCAAGGAGGCTGAAGTAGGTGTTAGATCTGAAGTTATAGACTGTTGTGAACCACCATGTGGGTCCTGGGAACTGAGCCTGGGTCCTCTGGAAGAGCAGAAAATGCTCCTAACCAATGAGCCATCTCTCTAGCACTCTTTCTTAAAAAAAATAAAAAATAAAAAATAATGAGCTTGGAAGATGGCTTAGCAGGTAAAGAATAAATTTATGAGCCCTTGCAATCACATAAATGTCAAAAGAGAACTAACTCCACAAAGTAGTCACCTAACTTCCCCTCCCACATAATATACACACTCCAATAAAAAATATTTATTTTGTGTAGGTGTTCATGTACTTTACAGGTTTCACATCCTTTTCCCCCCATGTTCTTATGAAATTGGTACCATTTGTTGTTCCCATTTTACCAAGGAAAATAAATGGAAGTTTGAGAAACAAAGCGCTCATGGTTACAATTACAGCTACTTATCACATAGCTGGGTGATTTTTATCATAGCATGTTCTTTAAACTCTACATATGCAGAAAAATGGGAAAGGTCATCTCCAAAGACCCATCCACTTTGGAATTTGCAATTATATAATTTCATAATTTGTGGTCTGTAAAGACTTTGTTTACACATTGTTTTAAGATTTCAGAAAGCTGGGCAATGGTGGCGCACGCTTTTAGTCCCAGCACTCAGGAGTTTGAGGCCAGCCTGGTCTACAGAGCAAGTGCTAGGATAGGCTCCAAAGCTACACAGAGAAACCCTGTCCTGAAAAACAAAACAAAACAAAGGAGTTCAGGAAGACACAGGAAAAAAAAAAAAAAAAAAAACCAAACCAAATCATCTATAGAGCTATTTCTAGGACAGCGAGGGCTACATAGAGAAACTTTGACTCAAAAACAAACCAACAAAACCTAAAGCTCCCAAACAAACAAGCATAAATATTGGTTTTGGTCACTTAGCTTTTCAGATTTAGGAGTACATACAAGCAGTTAAGTAGGACAGGAAGTTTTTTTTTGGGGGGGTAATTTTCTTTTTTTATGGGTATAGGTGTTTGTTGTGCCTGTATATATGTATGTATACCAGTGCATGTCTGGGAAGACACTATAAGAGGGTGTTGGATTCTCCAGAGCTGGAGTTAGGAATGCTGGGAATAGAACCCGGATCCTCTGGAAAAGTAGCCAGTGCTCTTAACTGATGAGTCATCTCTCCAGCCTCCAATTACTTTTTTAAAAAATTTATCTTATTTATTTTTGCAATTTTATGTGCATTGGTGTTTTGCCATGGGTGTTGGGTCCCCTGGAACCGGAACTACAGACAGTTGTGAGCTGCCATGTGGGTGCTGGGAATTGAACTTGGGTCCTCATTAAGAGCAGTCAGTGCTTTTCACTACTGAACTATCTCTCCATCCCTCCAATTACTTTTTAAAAAGGATTCATTTGAGGTGTACTTTATATGTGTGAATATGTCACAAGGATGTGAGTTCTTCAGAGGTCAAAAGAGGACGTGAGAGCCTCTGAAGCTGGAGTTAACAGGTGTTTGTGAAGCTGTCCAAGGTGGGTGCTGAGAAACAAACCCTGCTTTCTCGGGAAGGCAGCAAGTGTTCTTAACCGCTGAGCCATCTCTCCAGCTGTGATTTCTTGGTATTTATTTTCTGAAACAGGGTCTCACTGTGTAGCCCTAGTTGGCCTGCCTCTGTCTCCTGAGTGCTGGGAGTAAGACGCGTACACCACACCCGATTACTTTAGTATTTTGAGACAATGTCTCATGTAACTGCTCTTAAACGCGAAATTTACCCAACAATGTACCTCCGGATCCTACTGCCTCAGCCACTGTAGCGCTGGGATTATATCCCGTGCTTTGGATTTTTAGCTCCTTTGCAAACCAAATCTACTACACAAATCATTATTATACTTTTCCTCGTTCTGTAAATAGTAAGGCATATGACTTTGGGACTTTGCAGCCTGAGGTTCGTCATCTTTCCTTGGTTCTATGAACCCTCGAGGTGAAGTTTCTTGAGCTGGGGAGGGAGGCGGTCGAAGCACGGGGGTCTAAGGAAAACCGACGGGTAGCGTCTGGAGCTCACCACATCCCTGTTGCTAAGGTGGCTCTCGGTGTTCAGAGCGAAGCGCTGTTCAAGAACACCTCCTGGAAAGAGCCGAAACGCGGGCGGGGCTTGATCTGTGGCCCCCAAGCTGTCTTTGCAACTTCAAGAGCATCCGGTCGGCTGGAGCCACGTTTTCTCGAAGCTCACACAGACTTGGAGGCGACTGGCGACAGGTGACCGCGTGCTGCAACACAAGTCCCGCCAGTATGGCACACATCTAACCTTCCGGCTCCGACAACAACCTTGTTTCTAGACCGTGTTCTCATCACTTCCGGCACTCAATAAGGCCAATCGTTGTAACTCGTAGCGCAAGACCCACCCTCTTGTATGGTAGGGCAGCCAATCTAGTTACCTTTTCCGCCGTTGTCTCGTATACATGATGCACAATTTCGTCCAATCATTCCCGGGACGTCTTCTTATTCCCACCTCAGACCC